CATTCAAAGCTTAATTTTAATATCTCAATAATAGCTTTAAATGTAAATATGTTGTGACAATATGGCGTTTTATATGAGAACGGTCAGAATGAGCAGTTTGGTAATTCTTATAGTTACAGAATTCTAGTTCCACTGTTAATAAAGCTTACTCTCATGTCTGTGTTAACACAGAATAAAGCGAGTGCGTTGATGCCCATTCTGACCAATCACAGATGTTTCTGTTGAGCTCCTGAGCACACAGGCATTCAGCTCATGCTGATATGCCCTCTCATTGGCTGCAGCTCGTCACTACACGTGGGGTTGAGTCGGCCGACTGCTCTGGAATATTTAGCACTCAAATCAGGCTTAAAATCCTCTACTGTGAACTAGGCTTTAGTTTGAAAACAGCGTTTTACATCAAAAACGATCTACGTCCACAATAGCGTTTCACCTAGCGTTTCTGAACATATCTCCGTCCACACTACGCCACCAAAAACGTATATCACATGACCATCCGCGCACTCTGGGCATGCGCGTTCTAGCAAATACAGGGTTCTTACACCTTTTCCAGCTTCAAATTCCAGCACTTTTCAAGCACTTTCAAGGTGCATTTTTCTACTTTTTTAGCATGGTAAATTGCATTTATATATATGCTGTATGTACTTTTTCACATCTAAATCCATTGTGCTATTTTAATAAAACACAATATAACATTTCAACTTAAATTGTTGTATACTTTGGAGCATATATTTATTGGGATAGTTCACCTTAAAATGCTAATGAAATTTAACAAAATAAAAAGTTCAGTTATTGGTTAAAGTATCTTTAAGTTTGGACTCTTACCTAAAGCTGATCTCTCAAAAAATGAGCTTACAGTCAGATTTAGTTTGGGCGTACTACCAAACTTTCATGACCAGTCGTTCATAACATTTCATGTGCATTGCTATTCAAAATTCATGTAACAAATTAAATCTTTATGAGTCTGAGAATATTCTTGCTGCAAATTAATGAACTTTTCCTATGTCACCTGTTTTGAAAATCAATGTTAATTTTTAGTATGTATTTATTTAATTTTTTTTATTTTATTTATTCATTGCAGGCTTTGTTTACTGCAGCAAGTTTTAAACTGTTCCTGAGCATTGCGTTGGGTGTTTTTAGATGCAAATATGCATTCTGTGTGAATGTCTTCTAAATTAGCACACATTAACAAATTTCGAACCCTGCAATTTTAAATTTAAGCAGGTTCAAGCACTTTGTCCAAAATCCAAGAACTTTTCTAACCTTGAAGATACTAAATTAAAAATTAAGCATTTTCCAGGATTTCCAGCACCCGTACGAACTCTGCAAATATATGCAGCTGCTGTAGTAAAAAGGCAGAGTTTAACTGCACAATGGCGCCTAAAACAGACAATAGTGCTAACAACGCTCCCATTTCTGTGTCCATGTTTTTGTTTAGAGTGAAGGTTGGTCTGTTGTCTTCTGGTAGCATTAAAGCCATGTGTTATAGTCATGTGATAGGGGCTTGATGAATAAGGGAAGGATACGCAATGACACAAAAGCCCCAATTAGGTAGCAAATCTCAGCAGCCCCGCCTCCGTTTTCAGATGTCTCCGTTTTCCCCCCATCCACACTGAGATGAAGCAGCAACATTTTAGAATGAAAACAGCCACTCCAGCGTTTCCAAAACGCTCCGTTTTCAGCGCTCGAAAACTCCGGCATAGTGTGGACGGATGGCATAACCGTAGCATAATTCATGCGTTTATAATCCAGAGCGGCCCACTACATTCAATCAAAATGCTATTTATCTATGCACATCTAATATTTTTATCAACTCATATTTTATAAAACACAAAAGCCATTTGTATGCAATAAATAAATAAATAAATAAATAAATACTAACTTTAATCTCAATTTAATTTTTGTATACTGTCCATAAAGATATTTGTTGAGTTCTAAAAAATACACTATTTATTCATTTTCTTGTCGGCTTAGTCCCTTTATTAATCCGGGGTCACCACAGCGGAATGAACCGCCAACTCATCCAGCAAGTTTTTACGCAGACGCAGCCGCAACCCATCTCTGGAAAACATCCTCAAACACTCATTCACACACACGCTCATACACTAAAGACAATTTAGCCTACCCAATTCACCTGTACTGCATGTCTTTGGACTGTGGGGGAAACCGGAGCACCCGGAGGAAACCCACGCGAACACAGGGAGAACATGCAAACTCCACACAGACACACCAACTAAGTCAAGGATCGAACCTGCGACCCAGCAACCTCCTTGCTGTGAGGCGATAGCACTACCTACTGCGCCACTGCTTTGACCATAATAATTTATTTTAATCTGATCATTTCATCATAATTATTTTAAATATATATATATATAATAATATCATAATTTCAACTTGTACTATCATAACTTTTAAAACCAACAGTATTTGCTAATATTATTTACTATTTCATGGACCTGAGCTGATGTGGACTAAAAACAAAATAACTTGATGAATTTATTTGAATCTTACAATATTTTGTATGTGAAGCATATTGTCACCGACTCGGTCCCAGTAATTCCCCTCGCTGGCCAGCAGAGGCCACCATCTCCGAACTTTTAGCATTACATCATCCACTTAAACTGATTGCGCACACACCTGTTATCAATCCCGCCAACGGCCCACGCTCCCTGTTCTGCCACGGCTAACATCTCTGAGCGTTATTCCCTTGCCTGATCTCCTGTGTATTACCCCTGACTGTTTCTGACTCTGAGTTGCCTTCTGCCTGCCCCGAACCTTGCTTGTATCTGGACTCTGAACCACGCTGCCTGCCCTCGACCCACGCCTGATATCTGGACTCTGAACCACGCCGCCTGCCATTGATCCATGCCTGTTATATCACTCTGTGTCTGTCAGCCGCCAGCCATTCGACCCTTATTGCATACTGTTGATGTTAGTTCGCCCATAATGACATTACAACGCGTTTCCTCCTTGTCTTGTTTCTCCGTGTCTCGATCCTAGCCTTGTTTACCCTAGTTATCCTGTTTATCCGCCAGCCTTACGACCTATTGCCTGTACTTTGATTACGACTCTGGATTTGCCTACATATACCTGTTTGCACCCGATTTGACCACTGCTTGCTTGACGACATTGAATAAACCTGTATGTTGGATCTTACCTCAGTTGTATCTGTCACTCCCTCCCACGATCGTTACAGAAGACTCGGCCCATGATGGATCCAGCGGGAATTCAAGTCATGCGCCTGCGTCAAGGAGCTAGGTCCATTGAGGAGTACGTGGAGAAATTCATTGAACTGACACATCTGACATCTATGAGTGACTTGTGTTTAATGATTTTCTTTCGCGGAGGACTTGCTGAACCACTGAACTCCTACATGCCACTGCACAACCCCCACTGGAAGCTAAAATATTATATTGATCTGGCACTACAAATGAGTGGATCCTCCTTCACCATAGCCGAGTTGGACGAAAATCCTAAATGTGTTTTTTTTGGGGGGGGGCACTGGGGAGCAAGACCCGCTGGCAACAGGGCTTGCAACTCATCCCAATCAGCCAGCTCACAAGATGGCTCCCAGTCCCAAGTCTGTTCCTGTTCCTGAAAGGCCATCTCCAGAGCTGCCAGACCCTCCAGAGCTGCCAGACCCTCCAGTGCTGCCAGATCCTCCTGTGCTGCCAGATCCTCCAGTGCTGCCAGACCCTCCAGAGCTGCCAGATCCTCCTGTGCTGCCAGATCCTCTAGAGCTGCCAGACCCGCCAGACCCCCCACAGCTGCCAGCGCCGCAGCGAGAGTTGACGCCGCAGCCAGCGCCGCAGCGAGAGACGCCGCAGCCAGCGCCGCAGCCAGAGTCGACGTCGCAGCCAGCTCCGCAGCCAGAGTCGACGCCGCTGCCCGAATGGTTGCCGCCGCCTGAGCTTCCCGAGTGTCCGCCGCCGCTTCAGCTTCCCGAACATTCACAGCTCCTTGCCCTGCCGGTCCCAGCCCAGCTCCTCGCCCTGCCGGCGCTATTCAGACAGCTCACCCGGTCAGCGTCATCCAGACTCCTCGCCTTGCCGATCCCAGCCCGGCTCCTCGCCCTGCCGGCTCCCTACAAGCCTCCAGCCCTGCCGGCTCCTCGCAGTACTCCAGGCCCTCTGTTGTCACACGATCCAGGGTCACTGCAGCTCCACGCTCCAGGTCCTCCGCTGTAGCACGATCCAGGGCCACTGCAGCTCCACTCTCCGGGTCCTTATCTTGTTTCTCCGTGTCTCGATCCTAGCCTTGTTTACCCTAGTTATCCTGTTTAGCCGCCAGCCTTACAACCTATTGCCTGTACTTTGATTACGACTCTGGATTTGCCTACATATACCTGTTTGTACATGGAACAAACCTGCATGTTGGATCTTACCTCAGTTGTATCTGTCACTCCCTCCCCCGGTCGTTACACATATCATGCAAACAAAAAAACATAAATACAGTACAAAAAGTCCTTACTGTTAATGCTGCATACAGTTGAAGTCAGAATTATTAGCCCCCCTGAATTATTAGCCGACCTGTTTATTTTTCCCCTAATTTCTGTTTAACGGAGATAAATATCTCAACACATTTACAAACATACTAGTTTTAATAAATAATTTCTAATAACTGATTTATTTTATCTTTGCTGTGATGACAGTAAATAATACTTGAATAGCTATTTATCAAGACACTAGTATTCAGCTTAAAGTGACATAGTTAAAGGCTTAACTAGGTTAATTAGGTTAACTAGGCAGCTTAGGGTAAATAGTCAAGTTATTGTATAACAATGATTTGTTCTGTAGACTATCAAAAAAATAGCTTAAAGGGGATAATAATATTGACCTTAAAAAATTAAAAACTGCTTTTATTCTAGCCTAAATAAAACAAATAAGACTTTCCCCAGAATAAAATATATTGTCAGGCATACTTTGAAAAATTCCTTGCTCTGTTCAACATAATTTGTGAAATATTTAAAAAAATTTAAAACTTCAACTGTGAGTAATGTTAAGTAATAGGATTTAACAAATTAGAATTATGCATTAGAATTATACATTGTACATTAAAAGTAACCTCAAAAACATTCTAATCCATGTCAAGTGAACAAACTAATGTGAACTAATGGGAGCTTATTGTAGAGTGCTTAAAAACACAAATGCTTCAACAACTTGTTGTATTCAAGGAAACTAACGACAAATATTTAAATAATGCTTCAATTTCAAATAAAAGAAAACTTTTTCCCTCAAACATGACATTTAGCATCTTAATAAACACTAATATATAGTGTAAAACAAAAGAATTGTTCTTTGCTATTTAATGATAGTTAATGCATTAACTAATGGGACCTTATAGTGAAGAGCTAAAATATGCTTAAACACTTTTAAAAAAGCTTAATTTCCAAATATGTGTATTTACATCATTTTTGCTCATTAGTAAATATTAATAAATTCTCAAAAAATATTTTAAAATCTTGTCAAGTTATTCTTATAAATCTTCTAACATTGCTGTTATGCATGTAAAATAGTGCTCTTCAACATATTGGTATGACATCACCTGGCAGAGGCGGAGTCAGCAGCTGATTGGACAGGAGCTGCAGATATTCAAGTGTGATGTCACGCACTGCAGGGATGTGGAAGAGGTGTGTGAATGTGTGAGGACTCTTGGGGGCAAAGATGTTGAGGAGGGCCATGCGGCAGTACAGACGCACCAGAGCACTTTCACAGCGCAGCAGCTCCCTGAAACACACACACACACACACACACACACACACACACACTAAAGCCTGGTTTATACTTCTGCGTCAAGTGACCGGCGCAACTCACGGCGCAGGCAACGCGTGGCTGTGCATTTATACTTCTGCGCGCTGTCTCCGTTGTTCTGCATTAACACTTCCGAAACGCTAGTGGGCAGTGAGGTGTAAATGTTCCTCTGTGTCGAGTTTCTTCGCTTCTGTTTTGCTTTTCCTGAACACTTCCTGGATGTACAAGTGACTCAAACTCGCTCATTTTGAGGCAGGAACCGGCGGACGTGCAACAACTTTAACCATGAGGTAAACACAGAGCAAAACTTTCCATCTGGAGCTCCTTACGGGACTTCACACTTGTAAACAATCGCTCGCGCCATTCGCGCGGCTCTCGGTCCCGCCCAGACTCGTCGGCGCTAGCAAGCCGACCAATCACAGAGCTTGCGCTACGCGTTGTTGCGACGTGTAGTTACAATTTTTGAGAGGTGCACGTCAGTGACGGCAATGGCCACGGCGAAGGGCTATGCGTCAGCGCCGTAGCCTACGCCGGTGTTTGACGCAGAAGTATAAATCAGCATTAAGTGAAGTTGCATAAACTAAATTTGAGAGGAGCATGTGATATGATTGATCGCGGCTGGTCTCTCTGTAATCATTGGTAAGCCAATCGGATTATTCCAAACTCACTTTAAATACTAAATACACTTGTCCTATTATGCAGTTTCCACAATTTTCATTGCACACTCATTGATTTTGCTCTCTGTTCTGCCGTCATTTATTGCACATCTAGAATCTTTGCTTGCGGGTTGAAATGTTTTGCTTGTGAGTTTGAAAGTTTTGAACCCATGTACACTGAGGTTAATTTTGTGTCTTTATTATTCAAACAAACATGAAGTTTTTGACCATAATTAGGTACAATGCAATTAAAAAATAAAAGATTTCAAATAATAAAAAAAACATAAAATAAAAAAATTACACAGCAAAAAATTAACTATTGCCATTTTATGCAGTTACCACCAGATTAATTAATTGTGTGCTTATTAGTTCTGCTTTTGCTTTTGTTTCATATTTTGCGGATCTAAAATCTTTACTTGAGAGTTGAAAACTGCAGCTCAGTGGGCGGGATCCTCTGAAAAACCATGTTCTGTTGGCCAATCTTGACTGCGGTCACAGGTTGGCCACGCCCATTACATTTTCTCGCGATTGGACTGGAGTCACCGGCAGTGTTGCCAACTTAGTGACTTTGTCACCAAAATATTTTATTATTATTGACATAAGTTTTTTAATTAAACCTGTTTTTATTTGAAATCTTTTCTTTTTTAATTACTACGTGATTATTTTTTCTTTACAACTAAATATTTTTGATTGAATAAAAAAAAAGAAACAAATCTATTTCCATAACTAAGCCGAAGGAAAACGAATGAATAAATAATGCAATAGTAAATGATGAACAATGATTAATAAATACTCTACAAGACTATTCATCCTTGGTCGACATTACTAAATACATTAAAAAGTGGACCATTATTCTAAAGTGTTACCGGATTAACAATAATTAAGATTATATTTGAACGCCTGTTATTTGCATACTGACCTTTGGCCTCGCACAGAAGCGTGCCGATGCTGTTCTGGTAGGTTTGTGTGAGTCTCAGCTCCATTAAAGGCAGAAGGAGCTCTCCAGTGTGCTGTTTAGAGACTGTAGCAGAGCAAAGCGCAGATGCAAACTCTCCACTGGGACACCTGTGGGGACACGATCACATTCACTGCACATCCATCTTTTTTCTTTTTTAAATATTTCCCAAACGATGTTTAACAGATGTAGGAATTTTTCACCGTTTTTCCTATAATATTTTTTCTTCTGGAGGAAGTCTGATTAGTTTTGTTTTGGCTAGATTAAAAGCATTTTAAGGGCAATATTATTAGCTCCTCCAAGCTATATTTGTTTTTTGATTGTGAACAGACCACTGATATACAATAACTTGCCTAATTATAACTTTAACCTAATTAACCTAGTTTAGCCTTTAAATGTCACTTTAAGCAGATTACTAGAGTCTTGAAGAATATCTAGTCTAATATTATGTGCTGTCATTATGCCACAGAGAAAAGAAATCTGTTAATAGAAATGAGTTATTAAAACTATTATGATTAGGATGTGTTGGAATAATCTTCTCTCCCTTAAACAGAAATTGCAGGAAAAATATACAGGGGGGTTAATAATTCTGACTTCAGCTGTATAAAATAACAATAATAATAATAATAATAATAATAATAGACAGCCCTTGAGAGGCTTTTGCATCTGAACTCTTCATCTGTGAACAAGATAACACAGATATGGACTTACCTAACAGACACGCAACCTCAGGATCGGTGCCATTTTTGCTGGCGACCAGGTAAACCTCATGTGTATGCAGACAGGCAGGAGTGATGGCCAGGTGACGGCTGAGACGGTTCACAAACTGCACCAATGCAAAGTCCATCTCAAAGCTCCATTTTCTTTGGCTTTTTGAGCATGTCGGGAATCAATGGATCTAGGCTTTTGCCTAGAAAAAGATGTATTAGACTGCCCCAAGTAACGAAAACTGTGTATCAAATGTCCTTTGTGCCGACTGCCATTAGAATTTCATTAATAATTGAGTTTTTAATGTGGTTTATGTGATGATATTGAATGTATTTGTGTTGCCTGTTTTTCTGTGATATATGTGATGTGAGCGCTGATGTGGTGAAGCCAAAGATCATTTTAAAACCTGCAAACCTGTCAAAGTGCAGGTCATATCCACAGGCCAGGATCGCCCGCCAAACACTGCGGATGTCCTGCTTGGCTCTGTCTAGAGTAAACTTGTGGAAAACTTCCAGCGTCAAAAACTTCTCTTCTGGCACTGTTGAGAAACATCGAGATAAAAGCAGATCATTCACACATTTGATCGAGCGCCTGCTTGAAGTTTTCGTAGGATGTGCGCACACCGACCCTATTTTCAATCACTTACTTTTAGATTCTTACTAAGGAATATACAACTAAATACAAAATCATTTGCCTATCTGTGAAATCGTTTTTCAAAAACAACTCTTATACATAATTATTTAATAATTCTATGGAGACGGCGGATAATATTTCCTTAGCTATTTCTCTAGTAGTAGTATTCAGCTTAAAGCAACATTTAAAGGCTTAACTAGGTTAATTAGGTCAATTAGACAAGTTGTTGTATAACTTAAACTTAAAATTCTGTAGCCAATCAAACAGCTAGCTAGCCGGCAGCTCTCACATGGTCGCCCACTGAAGCTAAGCATGGCTGTGCTTGGTCAGTACCTGGATGGGAGACCACATAGAAAAGCTAGGTTGCTGCTGGAAGTAATGTTAGTGAGATCAGTAGGGGGTGCTTAATCTGTGGTTTGCGTGGGTCCTAACGCCCCAGTATAGTGACGGGGTCTCTATACTGCTTAGATGTTAAAATGAGGTCCTGATCCTCTGTGGTCGTTAAAAATCCCAGGAAAAAGAGAAAAAAAATGTCCTGCGAAAAAGAGTTGGGGTTTCACCCTGACATCCTGGCCAAATTTGGCCTCCTAACCATCCCCATATTATAATTAGCTTAATCTTAATCTGTCTCCTCTCCACCAATCAGCTGATGGGCAATATGGCTGCCGTCAAGTCATCCAGATGGATGCTGCACACTGGCGGTGCATGAGGAGATTCCAGCAAAAATGTGTGTAAAGCGCTTTGAGTGTCCAGAAAAATGCTATATAAGTGAAGGGAATTAAAATATATATTTATTATGGGGGGGCTAATATTATTGACCTATTTTCCAGCTAAACTAAGACAAATAAGATTTTCTCCAGAAGAAAAATCTTTACCAAGAAACATCATGAAAAATGTCCTTGCTCTGTTAAACAGCACTAGAGAAATATTTCACAGGTATAATACACTTCTTCAACGGCTAATATATTAAAATATACTTAATAAGTATAGAATATAAATGTAGTAAACGGCAGTTAAATAAAAGTTTCAATACAAAATTAAATGTGATTAGCTGACAAGAGTGTTTTAAGCTATCTATACTTTCATATGTTGCCTGGTTACAGTGGTATACAGTAACATGCTTTTATGACGAACTACAATGTACTTTCAAGTAATTTCCACTTAACATGTCAGAAATCAATGCATGTGCATTTGTGGGGGGTAGTAGTACCAACTTTTTGCTAGTAGTTTGGTAATACATGCTTTAGAGAACTAAATGTATGAATGTATTAAAATAACATTTCAATTTTTCATTTTCTTGTCGGCTTAGTCCCTTTATTAATCCAGGGTCGCCACAGCGGAACGAACCGCCAACTTATCCAGCAAATTTTTACGCAGCGGATGCCCTTCCAGCCACAACCCATCTCTGGGCATAAGTTGTCAGTGTTTTGAGGGATATTTAGTGACTTTTAGAGGTTACTGTAGGTCAAACTATACAAATTATGTGTCCATTTTTTTTTTTTTTTGGGCTACATGCCGATATAAACACTTACAGTATTTTACAAGAAATGTGTGTTGTGAAAACTTTAGATAGTATTGGTCCTCAAGAGCTGCTATTTTCAGACTGTTGAATGATATTTTCCTAGCATTGATTGGCACAATTATGCATTTACAACTCTATGAACCGCTCAAATCTATATTTACATTATACTTTTTTATTATTAATATTAAGGACATAGATCAGAGAAAGCATTTTCTTACTATTAACGTGCTGACCCACCTCTCATACATCTTGTTTTAAAGTCCTTCAGAGGCTTTCAAGCGTTATTGGAGGGGGTCAAACCCCCCAAACCCCCTGTAATTCACACCTTGGTTATATTCACACACTGCTGCCACACAACTGTTTAAACCACTTATAAAAGTGATTTAGCATAATAGGTCCCCTTTAAGACAGTATCACTTCAGGCCAATAGGTGGCAACAAGTCAATATCTACATCATACAATATACTTCAAATCATTTCCACTGAAACATGCATGTTTAACCACATTTCTTAAACAAATCACATATTTTAAGCCAGCGTTTAAGGGACAGTTCACACAGAAATGAACATTTACTCATCATTCACTCACACACAAGTGGTCTCAAACCTTGAATTTCTTTCTTCTGTTGAACACAAAAGAAGATATTTTGAAGAATGTTGTAAAAGAAAAACAGCCAAACTTTATTTTGATGGTCAGTATTTTGAATTTAAGTTACATTGCATCTACAGTACATGCCAACTAATTTTCATTAGACTGTTGGGTTGGGGTTAGGGTAAGTTGACATGCACTTGCAAAGTTTCTTATAGTCAGTTAAATGTCTGTTGAAGGAGCAGAATCAGCAGATATTAAGCAGACAGTCTACTAATACTCAAAATAAAGATGATCTAACCATCAAAATAAAGTGGTACAGAAAAAACCCACAATAGTAGGAACGAAAAATACTATGGAAGTCAACAGCTGCTTTTTTCCAACATTCTTCAGAATATCTTCCTGTACAGACATTATTAGAACCCACTGTACATTATAATTGAAATAATGATTTATAATTCTACAATTGATTGTTCTTTGATGCAGTCCTTCTTCTCAAACGGTCTATAAGTTATTGTCTAACACATCAATAGATGTGAAGAAAATCCTATTGTTTACTTCTGTGTCTGGAACAAAGTGCTATTATGCTTCTCTTGGATGAATATAAATTACAAGGCTGAGCTTTACTGCTGAATGAGACACACACAAGACAGTTTACTCAATTCACATTTATTGCAAGTGTTTGGCCTGCTGGGGAAATCAAGTTCTTTCTGGAGCAGTGATTGGTCACTCTGGGGATGATGAGTGGAGATCGTGAGGCAGGCTTTCTCGTCTGGAAGAGAACAGAGTCAAGAAAATCAGTGTCGATGTCTAAATGAAGCTGAATTTGAGTATGAATTAACATGACCTCTGACCCACAGAGAATTCTATATATACATATGTGTGTGTGACATACAGCATGTTCCAGAAGTGTTACTAAGCTCAGTCAGATGTCATGTCACTTAAATGAGATGAAATTACCTTTTATAATGTGTCCACACTAGCTCCTGCTCCTGAAGTAGGCATAAGCAGCACAGACACCTATGCCGACTCCGACCCAGGCTGCTGGACTGCTCACCGCAGCTTTCACAGCACTTTTCACATTGTTGGAGATCCTTCTTCCCCATGAAGACTCGCTGTTCGCTCTCTCCTCTGTTTCATCAGCGGCCTCTCTCTCTGTTTCTCCACTGGTCTTTCTCTCCTCTGTATCTCCAGCGGCCTCTCTCTCTGTTTCTCCACTGGTCTTTCTCTCCTCTGTATCTCCAGCGGCCTCTCTCTCTGTTTCTCCACTGGTTTTTCTCTCTTCTGTTTCTCCAGCGGCCTCTCTCTCTGTTTCTTCACTGGTCTTTCTCTCCTCTGTTTCTCCAGCTGTCTCTCTCTCCTCTGTTTGTCTTGGAGAGCTGCTGTCATTATCTGAGAGGACCTCAATTGTCTTGTCTGGGCCCCACATGATGATCAGAGGTTTATTCAGTAAATCAGTGAAGTTCAGAGCTTTTTGTGCTCGCACTGCATCACGTCGATGATGGAAAGTCACAAAGGCATAAGCAGGAGAGATGATGTTGTTTCTGCACACTTGCACAGTTGAGATGGACCCCAATGCACCAAACTTTTCAATAAGCTGTTGTTCGGTAACCATTGGGTGCAGATTGCTCACGAGCAGTGTCTTCCGCTCAATAAAGCGGCTCGTGGGGACCACAGGATCTGGTTGCTGGTCCCGTCCTGAATGCTCAAAAGTCACATAAATGTGTCTGCAATTAGTGTCTTCATCAAAAGAAAAATCCAAAGAGTGGATTTGGCTGAACTGTTTCATTGACTCAATCAGTTCTTGTTCGTCCACATCTGGGTCCAAATTCAGAACAACCGATGACCACTCGCGATGAGGGTTGTCTGAAGACTGATTATAGTGAGTATCCATAGCGAACGAGTCCTTCACAATCACAGATTTGTCAATTCGTACAGTAACTGTGTGATTTACCAAGTCACCGTCCTGAATGCTGGCAAACTGAGATGCGCTGTTTTAACATAGAACTACTATAGAACACATTCTATGACTGTCGTTGCTAAGCAACCATCAGCTGGGAGCGCGTGTGTGCGCACACAAACAGGATTCTAAATTGTTTATAAATGAATCTTAATCTGTTGACTATTAGATAAACTATTTATTACTATTGTTTTATCCTACAGATGATTGTTAATGTGCTGTTAATTATTATTTATTAGAAAAACCACCACTACTATGTCAATTGTTTTTATATGTCCTATTTAATGTAAGCATCACAAATGCTTTGGAGATACATATGTAACATTTGTCAAGCCAATAAAATAATCTGAAAACATTGACTTTCTCTGTGTGTGTGTTGGTATTTTTAAAGTTTTAACATATACATCTATTGAAAAATAACCAGTTTCTGTTGGTTTACAGAAGCTTTTAGCAGAAACCTTTGTCTCCTCAGCTGCTTCAGTTTATTAAATGAAGGATTGAGTGCAGAACAGTTTCTTATCTGAAGATATTCGGTCACAGAACTAAACCTACCTGCAAGAGTGATTTATATTTGACTGAATAGAGTTGATAAAATAATAATATTCACGGGTGTAAAATTCCTAAATTCACCTTTCATACCATATCCCTTATTAAGCTTCTGTATATACTTAGAAATAAAGTATGTATGTATGTATAGCCGCTTTTCCACTATCGTGCTGAATCGTTCTTTAAACAGAACTGTTCCATTCCGTGCCAAACCGGGCCAGACAGCACGGATACGGTTTCATTTTCCACTGTCGTGCTGCGACAAAGCTATTTAAAACATTACACGTAACGCATGTAAACGGCTCCCTTTGTTCAATTAAAGTTAAATAAGAGCCGAAACTTTTTTTTTTTTTTCATAAAAGCAAAAGCAACCATGTGACTAAACACTGTTATGCCGCTCTATCAAATAGGGGTGCTAAATATCGGTACATGTGCACCCTTATTTATTTATATGTTGCGCAGCTCTGGCTAAATTTATTTGGAGGGAAAATTACCAAAATGTAACGTGATGATTGAAAATAATTGGAGGGGAAATAAATAATATGTAAAATCTCTGAACATAACAGAAAAATAAACAATGATAAGACAACAATAATAGTGCATTTGCATTATAGTGGCAGAAATATAATTTTGGACAGGCATTGTCAAAGGTGAGCGGGCACTTTCACTAATAAAAACACAGCACATCAATTATTTCATTTTTAACAATTAATTAAATTACACTGCGTTTTTATATCAAAAGTTGATAATGATATAAAATATACTACATTTTGATGGTAAAATGAAACCAATTAAGCAATGGCTGTTATTTGTTTTACTATTCAAACATATGTAACATAAATAACGAATGCAGCAAGTGAAATAAAAAACGAATATGAAACAACACATATATAGCAGGATTTAAAGCATATAAAGCACTATTATATTTAGCAAAATGCTGCTCTATAATCTTTTTATTTTGATCATTTTATTATTATTATTTTTATTTTTTTTTGTTCATAATTAACTAACAAGCTGTAGGCGAATTATTGCTAGACGTTTTAGAAAATATTTGCGTAGCTTTATTAAAGATCACTAAGAACAAAAAAACAAAACAAAAACAGAAACATGTTACATGCCTCATAAATGTCAAATAACTTATATATAACTGAATCATATAATTGCCTTTAGCTGAAATGATGAAAATTGCTCTTTTTTTTATAAAACATTTGTCGAAACGTATTGATATTTTTGGAGTAAAAGCAATACTGACATTTAAGAATCCATATTTATTTAATTCATTCATTCTTTTTACTTGTTTATTAGTGCATATGCTATAATATAAATCATACAACAGTACCTTGGACAGTTAAAGTGCCGCTCCGTAAAGCTGTCAAGCAAAGTCATTTGGACGGCCGACATTACAACACGACGTCCTTCAGGTGGTCTCGCCGGTATTAACAAGCTGTCCTGGCTTTGAATTAAAAAATGCAATTATTTCCTCGTTGTTAAAAGAGTCTGCAAGTTAGTGTCCCATGGATATAGTGATGTTGTTGTGGAATTTGGACATCTACGATGCTAAGCGTGACTTGATTCGCTTTATTCGATGCGCAGCTGGAAAAGAAAGTCAGCAGCGCAAGTCGCTGGCATGTCTCTCCCGGATCAGAGCGAGTTTTGTGCTGTGAAATACAGCGCTGCGTGCTATAAACTCACATTCAGGCAGGCGAAGTAGGTCTGTATTCAAGACAATAAAATAATAACTTTAATGAATAAAATAATGTGATGAGTTATTCACTTCTCTGCCAGAGACTGCTCTATGGTTTTAAAACCCTTTTCAAACTGTATCGTTTAGACCTGGATCATTATTTTATATTAAATGTACTGTAGTTTATTGAGGATGTCTGATGACTAGCGCACTTCTGCTGAGCCAGCTGTGGTAGCTTAGCAACCGAGTCGCGACGTCAACACACAGAATCTGTCAGCACAGTTCAGCACGGTTGTCTAACCGTGCCGAGAATTCCGGGCCGAGAACGGTTTGTAATCGTGCCGCGCCGTTCCAGGCTCAGTGGAGAAACAACCGTAACCGTACAGAAGTGTTCTTAGAACGGTTTGGCACGATAGTGGAAAAGCAGCTTATGTGTATACAGTTGATGTCAGAATTATTAATCCCCCTGATTATTGTTTTTCCCAATTTCTGTTTAACAGAGAGAAAATTATTTCAACACATTTCTAATCATAACAGATTTAATAACTCATTTCTAATAACTGATTTATTTTATCTTTGCCATGATGACAGTAAATAATATTTGACTAGATATTCTTCAAGACACTTCTATACAGCTTAAAGTGACATTTTAAGGCTTAACTAGGTTAATTAGGCAGGTTAGGGTAATTAGGCAAGTTATTGTATAACGATGGTTTGTTCTGTAGACTATAAAAAAAAATAAAGCTTAAAGGGACTAATAATTTTGACCTTAAAATGGTGATTTTTAAAAAGCTGCTTTTATTCTAGCTAAAATAAAACAAATAAGACTTTCTCCAGAAGAAAAAATATTATCAGACATACTGTGAAAAAGTCCTTGCTTTGTTAAACATCGTTTGGGAAATACTTTTAAAAAAGGGGAAAAAAATGACTTCAACTGTATGTATGTATAAATAAATAAATAAATATATGTATAAGATTGCAGCTTTAAATATTTAATCGGTCACACTTAGCAATAAGATTTTATTAGCCTCCTAAAACCCAGTGCTATTTTGGGATTTCCACCTGGTTTTTGCCTACCCAAATTTAAAAGCTTCCAAAATCCACACGCAGAGGTGTAAATGCAAAAATTTAGTATCATTTTAAAGAAAACCCTTTGAATTTTTATAAAGCACTATAGAAAGTGTTCAAAATAACTGTATATGTTATCTGTGTTACACTGGAGCGTTTTAAAGCCGTGATTCATCAGCGGATCACTCATATGTCAGCTTATATCCAAATCAGCTGATGGATGTGAATTTAAAACACAGTGTCCTTGTATGTGTGGTTACACTCAGTAAACAGCGGTGAGTTCGGTAAACTGATGACCTTCACGGCCAATTGCAGTCATTTCTGTTGAGCATGTGAACACAATGGCAAATCAGCGCTGTTTAAGAAAGCGCTCAATGGCGCTCAAATGTTAGCGTGAAATGGAGGTTTTTAAACAGAATCACAGGCTCGTTCTGAAAACATAGTCCCGTGGACGTTTCTGGAGACCGCAAATTATGTAGCCGGAGGTACGTATGGTATGGCTGCATTAAATTTTTTTTAAACGAACGCTAACTGTGGAGGGCTTTCCCACCGCAACCAGTTTGTCCAGTTAGCTCATCGTGTACGTCAACGGACTTGAGACGCCAGAGAGGAGTTGACCACCATGACGATGATGACGAGATTCGAGTCCAGGGAAAAGCGGTTCCAGAAATCAGGTAAAACAAAAACAGAATCAAAAAAATAAAATGAATGAGTGAATAACAGGGTGAGAATGTGGTAAAATCCAAAAACATGGTAAAAATCAGACGAGGGCTTTTCTTTTTCTGGACGGCTTTTGAAAATCATTTGTTGAGTTTAGGGAAGTAAGTGAGTGGGCGGTTCAATCGATAAAATCGGTTGGATTTAGGGAAGGAGGAGGGTGGGTCAGTCAACTGGTCAGCTGGCCAGTTAGAAATTCAGTCAGACAGACAGTCAGGTCGGTCAACAGTGGCCTCCGGTGGGTTTACACGTGGACAACGGGCGCAAACGGCACTAGCGGGAGAACTTACTCAAGAAATTTGAGATCTGAAAAAGCGTACACAGCAGCCTCTTGTGGATTCGCAAAAACAAAAAGTGCAAAAATAGTTACCTCCTGGGACGTATTTCGCGGTCTCCAGAAATGTCCATGGGACTACGCTTTCAGAATGAGCCTGTTTTTTTTTTTAAAACTTCAGTATCGATTGGTACCAAATTCCAGTATCGTGACACTATAAAAGCACATTTAAGACCCTTACAGACTTAATGAAAAGGAAAACAAACTGTAGAAATAAACAAAACAGCAATGTGTTGAATGCAACATATAATGTCTAGGGCAGGGGTTTCCAGGATTGATTTTATACACCTCTGGCTGTATAAACTCAAGAGCAAATTAAATGAGCATATCTCACCTAGCAGCTCCACGACCTGAATGAGCACAGAAGTGGGCACCGTGTCCAGCTCATCCTCAGAGCGCTCTATGGTTTCTCCTACATTGTAGGTTAGCAGCTGTTCAGCGAAGGCTATCGCCAATGGAAACTCAAGAAGCAACGAGTGCAACACCAGCACTGCTCCAGGAGAAGGAGACACGCCTGTGGACAGAAATATAGATATGAGCTAAAGTCAGCAGGAATGGTCTTAATGAATCTGATTGTTTACTTAGAGAATGCAAAATAATGGAGATCACAGTTAAAATAAAATAAATGTACAGTGTGGAAAATAAGTATTAAACACGTCATGTTTTTCTAAAGGTGCTGCTGACATTGAATTGAACCAGATTTTGGTAAAAACCCAAACAATACAAACATAAACATAAAACAAAACCAAAAAATATGAGTTTTGTGTAATAACAATGAAACAACACAAGGAGAAAGTACTGAACTGTTGAAACGTATTTAATACTTTATATAAAAGGATTTTTTGGTGATCGCAGCTTAAAGACGCCTCTCACATGGAGACTGAAGCCTCATGCATTGCTCAGGTGTGAGTTTCTCATAGACTTCAACAGAATGTCAAAATCTTGATTCTTCTGTGGGTCTCGTCTATTAAATCTGTCCTTTCTTGATGCGTGGAGTTTGCAATGCAGGTCGGAGGATACACGATCGCAACTTTAAACTGAGTTTTACTTTGCTGAAAAAATAAGAAAACGTGGGCTCGGACGAGCCATGCAGTTACAGAAATGCGGTTTGCCGCCTCAAATGGGGGCGCACCTTTTGAAAAGCTTCTTTTGGATCTTCTACGCAGAGTTGCGCGCGCAGCTGGGTTTTAAACTGTGGTGGCATGTCAACTACTGACTGACCAATGGTCTCCTGGCAAAGTTTGAGCGGGAGATTTTCTTTGTCTCTGGACCGCTAATATGCAAAATAAGGATCCGCCCGAAAGCATGCGAAGAGACATTAACTCAGAGCATTAAATCATTTAAGCTGTATAGATTACGATCACGCGCTACGCATCATGTGTTGTAAAATGGCAGGAGAAACCTAACGGTATTAAACACGACAGTTTTAAGAAATACATCAACATGATTCACACATTCTTAGCTGGTATAGTGTCTTAAAAAGGGCACGAGAGAGAGATTCACATCATAGAAAAGTCCGAAATTAAATACAAAGTTTACAAACACATAACATTTACTTATGGGCTGAATCAGGAGTTCTGAGTCCATTTCAGCGTCGGGAGCCTTGTGTGTGTGTCCCTGTGTGTCTGTGTGTCTCGGGAGGAAGGGGGGACAGGAATGTCTTTTGAAGTTTAGGCAACCATCTCTTTTGTGTTTTCGCAGTCTCCTGAGATCCCAAGAACCTGTTTTAAGACGATGATGATGATGTGTGTGTGTGTGTGTGTGTGGTACCTGCAGGAAGCAGCAGATCTCTCCAGCAGACTGCCCTCCCCCTGATGCAGAGCTCTGCTGATTTCCATGCTCAGCCACTCGCGGACACTCTGAGCGTTTCCCTGATAGAAGAGCTCAGTCGGAGAGCAGCTCTGACCCTGCAGCTCATGCAAGACCGACTTGAGCCAACAGCACAGAGTTACAGCTGATCCGGCCATCTAAACACACACACAGGAGAGTCAGCAGACAGATTATGAGAAATGACTTCATCTTTCATTCATTCATTCATTTTTCATTCGGCTTAGGCCCCATTTACACTAATGCGTTTAGTTTAAAAACGGCGTTTTAGATCAGAAACGATCCACGTCCACACTAGCGTTTCACCTAGCGTTTTTGAACATATCTCCGTCCGTATAGCACGTGACCCATTTCTGTGTCCATGTTGTTGTTTACAGTGAAGGCTGGTCTGTTGTCTTCTGGTAGCGTTAAAGTTATGTGTTATAGTCATGTGATAGGGGCTTTGTGAATAAGGGAAGGATACGCAATGACACAAAAGCCCCAATCAGGTAGCGAATCTCAGCAGCCCTGCCTCCGTTTTCAGATGTCTGCGTTTTTCCCCCATCCACACTGAGACGGAGCAGCAGCATTTTAGAATGAAAACAGCCACTCCAGCATTTCCAAAACGCTCCGTTTTCAGGGCTCAAAAACCCTGGCATCGTGTGGACGGATGGCGTAACCGTAGCAAAACTTATGCGTTTTCAAACTAAAATGCATTAGTGTAAACGGGGCTTTAGTCTCTTTATTCATCAGGGGTCACCACAGCCGAATAAACCACTAACTATTCCAGCATATGTTACGCAGTGGATGCCCTTCCATCCGCAACCCAGTACTGTGAAACACCCATCACATGCACATTCATACACTACAGCCAATTTAGTTAATCGATTCCCCTATAGCGCATGAGTTTGGACTGTGAGGGAAACCGGAGCACGCAGAGAAAACCCACGCCAACACGGGGAGAACATGCAAACTCCACACAGAAACGCCAGCTGACCCGAGGTTTGAACCAGCGACCTTCTTGCTGTGAGGCGACAGCACTACCTACTGCGTCACTGTTTCGCCAAAATAAGGATAAGGATAAAATAAGGATAAAAACACAATAAATCCCTGGGCTTGTTTCCATTGCATTCCTCACAGTTAAATAAAACAAAGTATGGCTTCAAAATACAGATGATACATAAAACAAACAGGACCTCCACATTTTAAAACAGGAACAAAATAATTCACAAATACAATTATTCCTTTATTCATTCCTTATTCTTTTCGGCTTAGTCCCTCTATTAATCAGGGAATGTGGAATGAACCATCAACTTATCCAGCATATGTTTTATGCCGTGTATGGCCTTCCAGCTGCAACCCTATTCACAATCAAGTAACATATCAAATAAAACATCCTCATCTACTATGCAAACTAATTATCCTCAACAAACAATCATATTTTGATAGGTTTTTTAAACCTCCTTAAGTCTTTTATTTCCTTGACAGATTTTGGTAATTTGCTCCACATGTTTGCACTTGTATATAAAAACGTATTTTTCCCCACTAGACTTCTAAATTTAAATAAACAAATATTAAAATCCAAACCCCTAGTACTGTATGAATGCTGTTGCCTCACCATTTGAAAATAGTTCCCCAAATAACTAGGAACCACATTATTAAACATTTTACGTACTGTAAGGTCCAGCCAGTTGGCCCAATGCCGGTGTCCACTGGTGGATGAAGGTTCACTGCATGTTCGGTCTTTCCAGTGCACAATGTTGATTTATATTAACTTAGCTCATATCTGACTCCAATTTTAATATGAGGTGGTTTAGAATATTAATATATTTATCCTCGTTTTATCTGACTCCAATCATAAAACATTAAGAAGATTATATCAATATGTAATTTAGATAAATGTTTGAACCTTTTGTCTTCACTAGTAACTATTACATCCGTTCATTCGGGTGCTCATGTCGCTCAGAGAAATCGCCTAGGCCGAAGGCGTCCCTCACGGTCACACTCCGGTCAGTCTTGAATATTAAACAGAGGTAAATTGACTAATACTTTAGATGGCCGCTACCAGCGCGCTCGTTCTAAAATACTTTAGTTAGTCCTGCTTAGGTGTACACCCTTGAGTTAAGACAATCATCATTTCTAATTAGAGGTTAGGGCATTAATATAAATGTACCCGACTACTGGACTCTATAGTAACTTTGGTTTTCACCAAGCCCATGGTTTCCCATATGAACTTAATTTAGAATAATATTACCTTCAAACAAAGGTCGGGTACCCAATCGAGGTTAGTCGTGCAACACCTTGTTGACCTAGACGAAAGTTAACGCCCTTTCCACCCAAGTACACATGAATCAATATCAAGAGTCAGCCGGATCCCTAAAACACAATTAGTGTGCCCAATGCTCCATCTCAATTGGATTTTAGTCCGTCTACTGACCTGACGCAAGACGTGCGGAAACAAGGATACAGCGTAATCTACTTGAATTAATAATTACAGAGTGAGCAAAATATGGTCAAACATTACAATTTATTAGTCAGGTAATGTATTATGCCAATTCAATCAGTCAATTCATAAATGATCAATACAAAACATCAAATTATTAAAGATAAATCCAAGATGAAAGATGCATACCTGACTTCAAAAATATACATAACTAGGAGCTGGCTCCATGTTATGGGCTGATCTGGTTAGGCAGAATCGCCCTGCGCCTTTCTCAGACCTTACCTTAAATAATCCAAGAATTCCCTCAAGGAAGGGGGTGTGTGTTTATAACAAAAGGAAAAAGTCACACCCTTCACAGTGGTTCAAAAGATGCCTGAAGTTATATATTTATTGTGTTGATTATGTCTGTTTCTGAGAGAATGAGACCATTGTACCAATCGCACTGAGACATTTCAAATGATATCAAACATGATAGTTAAAGTCAGTTTGGTTAATCTAGAACATTCAAACATTGAAATGACCATGTGCGTGAGATGGGGGGATGAAGCTGAGTTTCAGCAGACTCAGATGCAAATGCAGCAGGAACTGTATTTTCCCGCATTCCCCCCTGGTGGGTTGTGGGGTCAATTGGCCCTGTTTTCAGCTCATGTTTTGAATTGTCAAAGACATCAAAAATATTTGTAATATTTCAATTCTTACAGTACCATTCCCAGTTTTAAAAAACATTAGTGCTGTCAATCAATTAAAAAAAATTAACTAATTAAACACACTTTTTGTTTTGCAATTAGCTCTGCACAAGACTTTTGGCCAGCGGAGAAATTAAAATGGTCGTGCCGAACTGAGTCTGGTTCTCTCAAGGTTTTTTTTCTTCACTCCCATCAGGTGAAGTTTTTTTTCCCTCTCCGCTGTCGCCACTGGCTCGCATGGTTCAGGATTGGTAGAGCTACGCATCGATGAATTTGCTCTTCAGTGTTTGAACTCTCAGTAATGATTAAATCACACTGAACTGAGCTAAACTGAACTAAACTGAACTTAAACACTAAAAACTGAACTACACTGTTCCAGTTACTATGACCATTTATGTGAAGCTGCTTTGACACAATCTACATTGTAAAAGCGCTATACAAATAAAGCTGAATTGAATTGAATTAATCCCAATTAATCACATTTACTAAAACTTGTCATTTTGACTATTTAAATGTAGATTTTATGTAAACGCAAGACAAAAAACTATTTAAATTCAAAATATAATTATTTATTAGAATTTTTGTTTAACTTGTAACACAGATTTCCTCATGTAAACAACATACCCACAATAAACCATCAAGATCCTGCTGGACAGCCATATTTATAACAGAAATAAAAACATAGGCCTGTTAGTGCCATGTGAATTTCAAAACAATCAATGCCAATAAAGAAAAAATTGATTTCCATGTTGGATTCTAAGTGGACTACAAAATAATGCCAAAATACAGGCATTGCAAATATAATAATAATAAAGTATTGAATACAAACAATTGCACTCATTGAAAAGTTGGATTGCTGTGAGTTGAGAACATTAATTATAAAGTAGAAACAATTTAGCTTAGTCCTCCTCTACATTTAGCCAGTTGCTAAGACAGTCCAGTCTGTTGACATTATTG